ACAAACAACAATACAGTAAATATCCCTTTATAAGTTATTACCCATATGAATTTCTTTGGAGTATATACTGAGGAACAAAATGCAAGATTGAATAATGTGAAACTGCCCTTTAGAGAGGAGAAGTAACTGACATCACAGAAATACAAAGGAGTATAAGAATATAATGAAAAATCTATGCCAACAAATCAGACAACCTAGAAGAAATGGATAAATTCCTAGAAACATGTAACTTCTGCACATTGAATCAGAAAGAAATAGGAAATTTGAACAGACCAAGTACCAGTAATAAATTGAATTAGTTATCAACAAACTGCCAAGAAGCAAAAGTCCAGGACCAGATAGCTGAGAAATTCTACCAAACATTTAAAAACCATTAATACCTATTCTTAAACTATTCCAAAAAACAGAAAAGGAAGAAAAGCTTCCAAATTCATTCCTGGGTGGCTCAGTGATTGAACATTTGCCTTCGGCTCAGGGCATGGTCCCGGAGTCCCAGGATTGAGAGAGCCCACATCAAGCTCCCTGCATGGAGCCTGCTTCTCCCTTTGCCTATGTCTCTGCCTCTCTGTGTGTCTCTCATGAATAAATAAATAAAATCTTTAAGAAACAAAAACAAAAAACAAATTCATTCTATGAGAGCAGCATTACTCTGATACAAAACCAGATAGACTCTACAAAAAACTACAGGCCAGTAATTCTGATAAACATAGATGAAAAATCCTCCCAATTTAGCAAACAAAATCCAGCAACACTATTTAAAAGATCATTCAGCATAATTAAGTGGGATTTCTTCCCAGGATGCAAGGGTGGTTCAATATTCACCAATCAGCCAAAGTGATAAATCACATTAATAAGAGAAGAATAAAAATCATATGATCATCTTAATAGATGCAGAAAACGCATTTGACAAATTACAACATCCATTCATGGTAAAAACCCTCTCAACAAAGTAGATTTTGAGGGAACATACCTCAACATAATGAAGGCCATATATGAAAAACCTGAAATTACTATTGTACTCAATGGTGGTAAACTGAGAGCTTTTCCTGTAAGGTCAGGAGCAAAATAAGGATGTCCACTCTTAATACTTTTATTTAACATGTCACTGGAAGCCTTAGCCTCAGCAATCAGACAAAAAAAGAAATGTATCCAAGTTGGTGAGGAAGAAGTAAAACTTTATTTCATAAATGAATGAAAATTAATATACAGAAATCTGTTACATCTCTGTCCACTAAATGAAGTAGCAGAAAAAGAAATTAAGACAACTGTCCCACAGTTGCACCAAAAATAATAAAATACTTAGAAGTAAACTTAAAGAGGAAAAGACCCATACTCTGAAAACTATAAAGTGTTAAAAGAAATTGAAGCTGACACAAGCAAATGGAAAGATACTCCATGCTTATGGAATGGGAGAATCAATACTGTTAAAATGTCCATACTGCTCAAGGCAATTATATAGATTTAATGTAATCTCTATCAGAATACAAACTGCATTTTTCAGAAATCTGGAACAAATAATCTTTAAATTTGTGTGGAACCACAAAAGATGCTAAGTAGCCAAAACAATCTTGAAAAAGTACAAATTTAGAGCTATCACAAACCCAAATTTCAACATTTACTACAAAGCTGTAGTAAGCAAAACAGTATAGTACTGGTACAAAAATAGACATGTAGATTAATAGAACAGAATAGAGAATCCAGATAAACCTCCAATTATATGGTCAATTAATCTATGACAAAGGAGGCAGGAATATACAATGGGGAACAGTCTCTTCAACAAATGGTGTTGGGAAAACTGGACAGCTGCATGCAAAGGAATGAATCTGGACCAGTTTCTAACACCATCCACAAAAGTAAACTCGAAATGGATTAAAGATGTGAGTAGAAGACCTGAAACTATAAAACTCCTAGAAGAAAATAATAGGTAATAAATTCTTTGACATTGACTGTAGAAGCATTTTTTTGGATATGTCTCTTCTGGCAAGAGAAACAAAAGTAAAACTACTGGAACTATACCAAATAAAAAGTTTTTGCACAGCAAAGGAAACCATGAACAAAACAAGCCTACTGAACAGGAAGAAGATATTTGCAAATGATATATACAATAAGAGATTAATATCCAAAATATGTAAAGAACTTATACAACTCACCACCAAAAAACCAAATATGATTAAAAATAGGCAGAGGACATGATTAGACATATGATCCAGTAATTTTCCTGTGCGGTGTTTACCCAAGGATAACAAAAATACTGACTTAAAAATATGTGCAGTCCTATGCTTCCTGCAGTATTATTTACAATAGTCAAGATATGGAAGCACTCCAAGTGTCCATTGATAGACAAATGGATAAGGAAGGTGTGTGGGGGTGTGTGTGTGCATATTTGAGCACACACTGGAATATTACTCAGCCATAGAATGAATGAAATATTGCCATTTGCAACAACATGGATGGACCTAGAGGGTATTATGATAAGTGAAATAAATCGTAGAAATACAAAAGCATATGATTTCAGTCATATGTGGAATTTAAGAAACAAAACAAATGAACAAATTAAAAAGATAGAAAAGTACTCTTAAATGTAGAGAACAAACAGTAGTTTACAAGAGGGAAATTGGGGGGAGATGGGTGAAATAGTTTAAAGGGATCAAGAATACATTTCTTGTGATGGTCACTGAGTAATGTATGGAATTGCTGAATCATTATATTCTCCACCTGAAAGTAACATAATACAGTATGTCAGTTATACCTAAATTTTAAGAAAATGGGGACAAAAAAAAACCCATTATTTAGGTCCTCTACCAGACAGTTTTCCCTGTATGTGGGTCTTGTCCACATGTCCATGAATTTAGGGCATTTCCTAACTTGCTGCTTGTTGCTAATTAAGAGGTGTAAAATGGCATTTCCTTATCTTAGCCTGCATTTCTTTGATTATTGAGTAAAGTAAAAATATCTCTTTCATATTTTGGCCTTCCAGGGTGCTTGTTCATCTTTTTTTTTTTTTTTTTTTAATTGGGATTGCTGTAATTTTCTTGGGGATTTGAATTTGTTATTTGGGATTTTTTTTTTTTTTTTGTTGTTGTTGTTAATTGTAGATTATAATCCCTGTGGTTCTAGACATTTCAAATATCTTCTCCTGTTGTGTTATTTTGCTTTTTGCTTGGTTCACCATGTTCTTTGCTGAGCCAAAATATTTCTAAATTTTTTTTTAGAAGTGGGGAAGAGGCAGAGGTAGAGGGAGAGAGAGATGGTGCCCAGTACAGGACTTAATCTCCCAAACCAGAGATTATGACCTGAGCCGAAATCAAGGGTTGGGTGCTTAACTGACTGAGCCACCAGGGTCCCCAAAATATTTAACTTTAGATTTGATCACATTCGTTTTAGTTTTGCATGTTATGTAGTTTTGAATATATGCTTAATAAATTCTTATGTGATTCATAAAAATATCTTCATTTTCTTTTATAGTTTTTCCTCTTACCGTTCGGTCTTTAATCCACCTTGAGTCCTTTGTGTATGGCTTTAGGTAGAGGTCAAGTGTGTCAGTACCACCTACATAGCAGTCACATCCCTTTCTGTGACTGGTCTTTTTCTGAGCTCTCAGCTGCATTTTGGTTTGCTTATTCTTATGTCAGCCACCGGCTTTACTACCATGATATGGAGACGATTATTTTCAGAATTTACAATCACATAATTTAATGTGCAGGTTTCATTAAGGTTTTTTCTTTTATTTCTTTTTTTAAGATTTTATTTATTTATTCCTGAGAGACACAGAGAGAGACAGAGACACAGGCAGAGGGAGAAGCAGTCTCTATGCAGGAAGCCCGACGTTGGACCCAATCCCAGGACTGGGGTCACACCCTGGGCTGAAGTCAGAATCTCAGCACTGAGCCAGCCCTGCATCCCCTAATCCATTTCTTTAAATGTAATTAATTATAATTGCTTCATGGGTCTCTTCCCCATTTGAGGTACTAAATTTTGCTTTTTAGCAGAATCAACTAAAATGTCTTAGAATGACTATAGAATAACTTTGTCTTACATAATTTGAGAAAGAAAAATAAAGCTGAAAAATAATCTATATTTTCTTCAGTCCTTAGTCTTTGCATGGTGAACTTCCCTACCTAAAACAATCCAAATTGTGATTTTTAGAATATTATATATAATTAGTAGGAGGAAGTTAAGTAACAAAATGAAACTTCATAGTCTTCATTTATAGAAAATTGCATTTCTTATAGGTTATATTTTCTGTTTAAGGAGCAGGATTCAAAAGCCTAGACCTCTGAAATAAAATACTTTATATTTTTAATTTTAACCTCCAAAGATTCAGTCTACTAGTAAATTTATGAGCTAGGAATTTTCAGTTGTATAGCCTATACCTTTGTTCTCCAGCTCTAGTTGAGAGGTTAGCTGTAAAATGGATAAGGAGATGAGCAAAATGAGAATAATGCTGGTTTATGCTTGATCCTCTGGTCCTTCAAGAAAAGTCAGTGATTTTTTTTTAGATTGTTCCCACAAAACAATGAATGTTAAATATTATGGAATGTTTAAAAAAATTAACAAACCTAAGAACACTGATGTCCATCGTCGGGGTCATTGCCAATTTGTTTAAGATAGTATTTTATGTATTAACGTGGCATTCTTTCTAAGAGGAGGATGAAATTATTATAAGAAAAATATGGTAAATTGAGTTGTACTCTGCAAAATTATTCACTTTAATAACTTATTTCCCTGGAATAAAGGGCAATATATTTAAAACATTATTATCAATATTTTGGATGCATTTATAAAATGTATTAAATAGCCAACTGTTAAGAATAGAATTTTCCCTCTTATTCTTCCCCAAAGGCATTTTTTAAAATAGGCTACATGTGATCAACAGTGAAATGATGTAATTAGGACATGGCTATTTGTGGCAATCATTCTTATATGCTACTATTGGAACGATAGAGAAATACAGTTTTTCTTATTCTTTTCTCCTCTCCTTCTACCCCTTCACTCCTCAGCTCCCTTCCCTTGACCCTTTTAGTGAGAATGTACCCCTCAGTCATGAGAATGTAAGTATATTTTGATATTTCATTTGTATAATATCTAATGTAAAAAAATTAAAAGAGAAGCAATTAATATTCTGGTTAGCAAAAGGTTGTATATGGTAACAAGTAATCTTTTTGTCCAAAAGATTCATATTAGTACCACCTTTTTTTAAAAAAGTATGTTTCTTTAAGGATTTTATAAAAATAAATTTCATAAGTGTTTTCATTCATATACCTCTGTTAAATGATATTTGGATAGAGGAATTTATGGAAAAGTTTTAAGTGTCAGCAGGAAGATTTCTTGCCTCACTCTATCCACCTAACTATCATGTAGCCATCCATAAAAATGTATTATTATATTTGGTAGGTCAGGTATGTGGCAAACACCAAAAAGTTGAATATAAAAATATATATTAAAAAATCTATTTGAGGGCAGCCCCAGTGGCTGAGCGGTTTAGCGCCACCTTCAGCCCGGAGTGTGATCCTGGAGACCCAGGATCAAATCCTGCGTCAGGTTCCCTGCATGGAGCCTGCTTCTCCTTCTGCCTGTGTCTCTGCCTCTCTCTCTCGGTCTGTCATGAGTAAATAAATAAAATCTTTAAAAAAATTAAAAAAAATAAAATAAAAAATCTATTTGATAGTTTTAAAATCGATAGGATTGTTCTATTTAAATATATATATATATATATTTATAGGTCACTGGCTTCAAACTAGGTTCAATGTATGGAAATGGTGGAGCTGCCTGTTCCTGGATATACCCTCCATAACTTCTAAGATGTTTGTGTACTATACCTGTGGTAGGTTGAGAAATAGCCTCATATGGGATCAGACTAGGTTATTGGCTGTTGACTACAGGCTCAACCCTGGTGGAGAAGTTTATGCGGATCTCTAGTACATGTTTTTCTATGTGATGTGAATGAGTCCTGTGGATTTGGGGAGGGTGGATGACAGTCAATGGCATAAAAACAGACATAAGGTAAATGAACATGCATTCTTACCAGAGTGCAAAAAGCTGTCAGAAAATTATAAATTTCTATTTCAATTATTACTGATGAGGTTGTGCACCACCCTTATATATTTGTGGTCATTTGCCTTGTTCTGTGAAATGTCTGTCTTTTGTCTATTTTTTTTATTGGGTGGTTTACTTTTCTCAATGAGTTATAGCCATTCTTTATATATATTAGATCAAATGCTTTTTTTGTTCATTATAAGTATTGGAGATATTTCATTCCTAATTTGTGGCTTGTGTTGACTTTCTGTTAATTATTCATGTACAAAAGTTACTAATTTGGTAAGGTTAATTTTGTCTGTGTCTAATTTGCTGGTTTTTTTTAAAGATCTTCTTCCTGGGATCCCTGGGTGGCGCAGCGGTTTGGCGCCTGCCTTTGGCCCAGGGCACGATCCTGGAGACCCAGGAACGAATCCCACGTCGGGCTCCCGGTGCATGGAGCCTGCTTCTCCCTCTGCCTGTGTCTCTGCCTCTCTCTCTCTCTCTCTCTCTCTCTCTCTCTCTCTCTCTCTCACTATCATAAATAAAAATAAAAATAGTTAAGCATTTAAAAAAAAATAAAGATCTTCTTCCTTACTTCCTTACCTTGAGGTTATAAATATGTTTTCCAACATTTTTTCTTATAAATATTTTAAAAGTTTTGTGTTTCAAATTATTTCTTAATTGCTTTAGTGGCAAGGACATGGCGAATATAAGCTACTGAAAGCAGAGCTAGGTGGCTGGAACAGAAAGAGATTCGGATGAGGTGTGGAATGTCTTGACAAATATTTATTTGAATCAGTGATCATGTTACTATGCTGGAGATAAGTTTAAATTGTATTAAGTAAGATTATGAACTATCTATGAGAGGTTCCTAGGCAGTAAAAAGAAAATCTGAGGAGGCCATTTTAGGCAGAGGAAAGGCCATGGGGGGGAAAGCATGAAGAGTTTGAAGTTCCATGGCATATTCAGGGAAGAGCGGTTAGGTGATGTTCTATGAGCGTAGAATGAGAGGAGGGATATTGCAGAAGAAAATGTTGCAAAATTGGATATACAACAGATTTTGAGAAACGTTTTATGCCGTGTAAAGGGTTTTGGCTCTATTCCACTTGAGGCAGTCATGTCACTTTTAAGGGAAGTTACACTGATCTGTTAGGAATTTTAGGAAAGTGAATACACCACACCATGGAGGGTTGATACACTCAGAGTGCCTTGCATATAGTAGACTCTTGCCATTGCTCAGAATCTAATAGAATATTTTCCTCATAATTAGCTGCAGAGTCTACAGTGCATTCTTTTGATTATTAGTGGTCAATTTTCAGTCTTTTTGAAAGGATTTGATATTTAGTAATAGGCAAAAGTTATATGGAGAAAGTTTAGGAACTAAGGCAAATGAGCAAACTGGGTAATACCATTTTTGGTAAAACATGATATATGATGACACTGATTTTTAGATAGAGCTTATAAAATGCTCTGAAAGCAATTTTAGAGAGGAATTTTAAAAAGTATTTTGAACCATGTTCACATCATTCTGTGTACATAGCCTTTGAAAATAATTTGTGGGTAGAGCAAAATTTATCTGAATATATGAACTCTGATACTTTGAGAAACATGAAAGTATAGGAATTCACAATTAAAACTCTCATTATTGTATAATTTAGTCTGTGAAGAAGCCAACACTTACTTTCCCATTCTTTCTTTCATTGATAATGTTATTTTTTTATTTGTGTGATTTTATTGATCCAATTCTACACTGTCTTTTGCATTTGTCATTTCCTTTTCATCACTTTCAGATCACTGAGTATATTCCCACTCACACAGAAGTGATTTCTTGTTGATGGTGCTAAAGTGACTTCCTTTCTGGATGTTCCTTGTCCTCAAGATTGTTGTTGATACATTGATTCCCTGTCAAAGATTCTGGCTCACCGCTGTTTGTTTGCTTACCAACCAATTCTGTTAGCAGTGATTTTTATCCTTTCTGTCCCTGCCTCCACATTCATAATTCTTACTTTCTGAATTTGTATCTGTTTTCCCTGACTACTTTAGAAAAATATGTTTTGGGTTACCCAATACTTCTCACCAAAAATGGTCATATGGTAATGGTTTACTTTTTCAAATAATAAAATTGAATTTAAACAAACCATAAAGATTGTAGTTGTCTTCTAAGCCTTCTTGTTTTAAAATAAACAGATAAGGAATTTATAGAAAAATTTCCCCATCTTTGTCCTGTTTTAAATCACCTTAACTTACCTTTGGCTTGAGCTGTTTCTAGTTCATTCATCTTCGAAACTTTTGTTGGTCTCTTTTTACTCATTTATCAGCCGTTTCTTAGTCTCTTATTTGCCAGGTGTTAAATACTGGGGGAAAGAAGTTGAATGTGACGTGAACTTTGCCTTCCATAATCTTATATTATTTGTCTAGTATTGGAAAAAACTAATAACAGTTATGTAACATTGTGAAAAATGCTGTGATAAAGATATGCACCGTATTGTATGGGAAAGAAGGGTTCATCTCTAACAGGGAGATTGGGGAGTGCTTTCTAGAAGAGGAACAACTGACTAGAGATTTTTTTTTAAGATTTTATTTATTTATTTATTTATTTATTTATTTATTATTATTTATTTATTTATTTATTTGATTTTATTTATTTATTAATGAGAGACACACACACAGAGGCAGAGACACAAGCAGAGGGAGAAGCAGGCTCCATGTAGGGAGCCTGACTTGGGACTCAATCCCCAGTCTCCAGGATCAGGCCCTGGACTGAAGGCAGTGCTAAACCGCGGAGCCACCCAGGATGCCCCGGACTAGAGATTTAAGGGATGATTAGTAATCAGGTCAATTCAGATAAACTGGAGGGGAAACCCCTTCTCCCCCGAAAGGATTCAGGGTATGCAGAGGCACAGAAGTATGAAAGCACAGGAGGGAGACCTGCATGAGACAAGGTATGGGCAGAGTAAAGTTTGAAAGATTGCAGGTCTTTTTTCTTCTGTAATATATGCATTTAGTGCTACAAATTTCCCTCTCACAACAGCTTTCATTGTGTTTCATACATTTTAATAAGTTGTATTTTCAGTTCAAGATGTTTGTGAATTTTTCTTGACACTTCTTCCATGTGTTATTTAAAAGTGTATTATTTAATTTAAAGTATTTGGGGCTACCTTTTGTTACTGGTTTCTTGTTTAATTCCATTGTGATCTTAGAGCATACTTTGTATGATTTCTCTGCTTTTACATTTGTTAAGGCGTATTTATGGCCCAATGTGTGATCTGTCTTGAAGTATGTCCCATGTGAATTTGAGAAGGATATGTATTCTTTTGTTGGATGGAGTGTTCTATAAATATCAGCTGTGGAGGGCAGCCCGGGTGGCTCAGCAGTTTAGTGCCACCTTCAGCCCAGAGCGTGATCTTGGAGACCTGGGATCGAGTCCCATGTCAGGCTCCCTGCATGGAGCCTGCTTCTCCCTCTGCCTGTGTCTCTGCCTCTCTCTCTCTCTCTCTCTCTCTCTCTCTCTCTGTGTGTGTGTGTATCTCTCATGAATAAATAAATAAAATCTTAAAAAAATAGTAATACTTGAATAAAAAAGAGAATAATAAAATTTTATTTTACCTTCATTTATTTCTTCTCTGACATTCCTCCTTTTCTTATGTAAATATAGTTTCCAATCTGTATATTTTCAGTTAAGACCACAGATTTAAGGAATGAGAAAAGTAGATGGATTGAAAATTAGGATCTCAGAGTGAGATCTCACAATTTGAAATTTCAGAAGTAGAGAAATTCCTATTGGGGGGTAGGTGTAGAATATGGCCCTAAAGTTTTGGGCCTGCTAATATTCATCTCACTCTGGAGGTCAGTCTCTCCTGCCCTGTGCCATCCACTGAGGCTACTAATAAATGATCACAGAGCTGAATGATTTGTACTAGAAGTAGTAGAGGTGTGTGGAATGCAGAAATTTGCCAGTGTTAGATAATCACAAATTACGGAAGCATTATGCTACAAATATTCTTCTTTCATGGATCTTATACAAAATTTAGAACACAATTTGCATAAAATACATTTTCAAAGAATGCTGGGGATTTCAGGTCAGCCTACAGAAGTTTATTTATTCCATAAATGATTTAATTATACTATAATATTAATCATATCAAGTAACCTAACTGTTGTTTATCTATTGGTGTAAATTTGCCTTTGAGGCTGCCAAAACAGCAGTAGAGGCTGCTAAAAGGAGGGGTTCAAGAAAGTTGTCTGGGACATGTCCTCAGTGGCTACTTGTACTTGGAAATCATATGTAAGTGAAGTGTTCTTAAATGGAAGCAAGTCGCTTTTGACTTTGGAATATGCTTTTGTCTATGAAGAGAGAAAAATTAAGCAAATTAAGCATACCGAAAAGATGCTTTGAGAAATTGTTTAGTTCAGTATATATGCAGTAGATGAGTGAACTAGATGGTCTGCAAAGGATGGGGAGATACTGGGAATAGGTCTTAAGTGATTGTATTTTGCTATATAAATAAATGAAGTGGCTGATTCATCTGTAAATGAAGAGACTAAAATCTGATAACGACAAAAAAGGCAAAAAAAGCTAATGCTTTAGCAGGCAGAAAGATTAAATTCTAATTGAGGACTGTATCTATAGGTATTTTTCAATGTGTATATATGTTAGATTGCTGAGCTATATAGAACCAGTGTGGTGGGAGTTTCTCCAGGTTTTGCCCTTTACTCTTATAAAGTGTAAGAAGTTTTGCTTTTGTTTTTCACAGTAAAGAAAAGGATTTTTTTCCCCAGAAGTTTTAAGAATAAAATAAATACATGAGAAATTACCTGTAATTCTTTGATGAAATTTTAAGATTTCCTTTAGCCATGTGAACTATTTATTTTTTTCTCTTATGGAATTAAGGGATTTTTTTTTTCTTTTTTTAAAGGAAAGCTATTGGGACGCCTGGCTGGCTCAGCGGTTTAGAGTCTGCCTTCGGCCCAGGGCGTGATCCTGGAGTCCCAGGATCCAGTCCCACATTGGGCTCCCTGCATGGAGCCTGCTTCTCCCTCTGCCTGTGTCTCTGCCTCTCTCTCTCTCTCTCTCTCTCTCTCTGTGTGTCTCTCATGAATGAATAAATAAATAATCTTTTAAAAATAAATAAATAAAGGAAAGCTATTTTAAGTTTTTGGCTGTGCTACTCAAAGGCAGCTAGTTACTTGAATAATATATTTTTAAAATTTAGGCTACTTGTTTTATACCCTTCTGTAATTTAAATAATGGCAGACTCTTTAAAGAATTTTGGGCGGAGAAGATTAAAGTATCTGGGATTTTCAAGCATTAATACAGGAGATTAGAATAAGAAATACTGTCTGGGCTCATTGCAGTAATTATCTCATTGCTATTTAAATAACCCCCTGTTGGCACTATGGTGGTACGAATACTTTTGTGAAACAAAATAGGGTTTGCACTAGAAAACTAGTTCTTATAGAGAATTATCTTTATAAATATTTTGAAAACCTCTAGTGACAATATCCCCAAAATAATCATTCTGTGGTTTGTTGTTATTATTATTATTATATTTTGCCTATCTCTTCTCTATTACCCTATAAGTTTCTTATTGAGCATCTAACAGAGAAATAAATACTTCGCTAATTTTTTATCATTGTGTGTAAATCTCTAAAGCCAAATACTGTAAAGTCTTAAACTGTTTTCCTTACTTGCTTAAATAATTAAAAATGTAAATAAAAAGGATTAAATGTTTCATGATTAGGCTCAAAGGAAGGAAAAAGAATTTATTGAATGTAAACTAATGTGTTTGGCGCTTAATAGAAACGAAGTTCTTTTATGTATGCATTACAAAAAGGCTGTGAGGAAAGATTTTACAGATGAGAGAAACCCAAGATTCAAACCTGAAGCTACCTGTATCACATGGATATGTTTTTACAGATTTGATTGAAAAGTGCTTATTCTTTTTAGTCTCTCATTGCTGAATAGTATTTTAAACATGATAGTTCTTGTTCTGAATACTACTTTAAATATAAATATTGGAGTGGAGACAAAGCAATAATCCAGCAATCTGATATGCTTAAGTGTTTCTTGGTAAGGAAGGAGAGAAGGAGGAATCTGAATTTTTCCATCACTGAGATTATCTGAGTAAGAGAAATACCAGTAAAACCACTTAGCTGATTAATATATATCCTTTTGTATCAGATAAATATTAAAAAACGATAGTACAATAGCTTCATTACGTCTAGTTATTGTTTGTCGTTCTGTGATCATGTGGTTTCTTTTTTTTAATGAAAGTTGATTAGAATCTTAAGAAAAATCAAAAAAGATTTATTTCCCATTCTCACTGCTACTTGGTGTTAAATAAATTATTTCTAGAGTTCCAGTTTCTAAGAATTCTGTAATTTAAAATAAGCACGTGAGGAGGGCACCTGGCTGGCTCAGTCAGTAGTGCATGCGACTCTTGATCTCAGAGTTGTGAGTTCAAGCCCCATGTTGGGTGTAGAGATTACTTAAAAATAAAATCATAGGAATGCTTGGATGGGGATCCCTGGGTGGCGCAGCGGTTTGGCGCCTGCCTTTGGCCCAGGGCGCGATTCTGGAGACCCCGGATCGAATCCCACGTCGGGCTCCCGGTGCATGAAGCCTGCTTCTCCCTCTGCCTATGTCTCTGCCTCTTTCTCTCTCTCTCTCTCTCTCTCTCTCTGTGACTATCATAAAATAAATTAAAAAAAAAAATTAAAAAAAAAAAAAGATTAAAAAACAAAAAAAGGAATGCTTGGATGGCTCAGTGGTTGAGCATCTGCCCTCGGCTCAGGGTGTGGTCCCGGGGTCCCAGGGTCCCAGGACTGAGTCCCACATCGGGCTCCCTGCGTGGAGCTTGCTTCTTCCTCTGCATATGTCTCTACCTCGCTCTGTGTGTGTCTCTCATGAATAAATAAATTAATCTTTTAAAAAATAAAATCATAAAAAAATGCACGTGAATATGAGTTAGGTGGGAAGGGTACTTGACCAGGAGGTAGGAGGTTTGGATTCTCATCCAGTTCCTTATCACTGTGAGATTTTGTGCTTATGGCCCTTGTCTCAGGGCCTTACAGAGTTAATCCTCTTGTCCACCCACTTGCTTAAGTTAGAATGAAGAGCAAAGGAGAAGATCTGAAAGTGCTTTGAACTCTAATATAGAGTAATAATACTTGACTTTTAAAAAATGACATAGAACCCTTGGAAAGCTGAGAGCTCTTAAAAATGTTTTGAAGTGTTAGGGAACATGAATCTAAATCCTCTTCAGGACTGTCTAGATCATGAACTTTAGCTATGGGCTAAGCAAAATGCAGAGATAAGCATGATCTAAAATGTTAGCTAATCATCAAAAGTTTTATAATTCACTTCAAATTTTGTTTTTGTTCTGGGGCTCTCCAGGAGTAAAAATAGCACATAGGTGATTTGAATGTATTTGTTGAAATCCTTATATTTGAAGGTCTTACCTATTTTCCAAGGATGAAATACATTAAACAGCTTTGAACTGGATGATCTTTGGTTTGTCATTTTGTGGTTTAGAGGCTCTTTCGGCTTTTGCCTATGTGTCTAAGTACTCTCCCCCATGATTGGACCCCTTAGAGTGTTTTAAGTGCTCTCAGGACAGCAGTCACTTAGCATGGCAGAGCCACTGGCGGGGCTCTAGGCAGTCAGTGTCTTTCTACTCCTTACCTGGGATGAGTCACCTCATGGCCTCCTGTTGCAGTAGGCTAGATCCTAGAATGCATAAGCATGTACCCGTGGCCAAATATGGAATTCACTCAAAATTCTCAAGCATATGTAAGATGCCAGTTCTTAGAGTATTAAAAATCAGTAGACCAATGTTTAGTAAGTAGAACTCTAGCCTTGCAGTAATCTTTTATTTCTTAAGAAATGGCATTACTGGCTAATGTGGTTATACAGCAAAATTAAAAACTAATCTTCAGGTTATTCCTACTTTTCTACAGATTAAAAAGCTAATTGCCTTTTATCCAAATTCTGTATATTCATAATGTCTTCCCAGCCCTTCTGGTTCCTTTTGTAAGATACCCTCTTTTTGTATCTGAAATTAGGTGATTGCTGGAGCAGTTGGTGGTGATTGAAAAGGGCTGATGATGCTTTCTGAATGCTTAGTGTTATTGATTCTGGTACATATCCTAACCCAGTGGTTGGTTTGTTTATTTCTTAACTGCAGCTCTAGTCAGGAATACATTTTACATTGTCATTTAGTATGCATGAATCACCTAAAATAAGTTGCATGAAATGATAATCCCCCTTACTATATGTATTCCAATATCTTCCATTTCACTTTTTTTAACGTGCATCATGATCCACTAAATGAATTAACATGACTTGCCAGAGTTTCAAACTCTAGTCTGAAAAAGTGATCTTCAAGCTATATGAAAATTTTTACTGTCGTCTTATGATTTGTAAAATACATTGGGATGCATTCATTTTAATTTGTACATTTTCAAACTGAAATAAAGTAGACTCTTCAAACAGGTACCCAAACTGCAATCCTTCATCTAGAAAAAAAAAAAAAAAAATAGAAAACCTTATGTTTCCGGGGGCATAGGCTGGTTATTTGTTTTGCTTGTTTGTTTTGGAGTGGTGTTTTTTTTTTATTGGTTTGGTGTTTTGAGATGAGGGTGAACTTTCTATTCTTCATTCTTTTTATATCTGCTGAGCTATTAAGCAACAATATTAATAGTGAGATTTGTGGTCCCTTTTTTTGTTGAACTTCATATGACTTAGTTGGAAACATTTGACACTTGTCCAATTAATGTTCTACATTTTATACACATTGTGCCAAAGCTAGTAGGAATATTGAGTGCCATGATTCCTAATGTGTCACTTAGGGAGACTTATCAAAATTAGCTTTGCCTCTCTACATTTTCTATTTAAAGAAGAAGAAAAAAACATTTCAAACAGGATTTTGTGTTTTTCTGGCTTTTTTTAAGCTCTTGACCTGATCAGGATGATGACATTTTGACTGTCTATGTATGAACATCTTTCCACAGAATTAGAAGTGTTTATTACCAACCAGCCAAGATGAACATGGTGAAGAGGATTATGGGGCGACCGAGGCAGGAGGAGTGCAGCCCCCAAGACAACGCCTTAGGACTGATGCACCTCCGCCGTCTCTTCACGGAGTTGTGCCATCCTCCCCGGCACATGACTCAGAAGGAACAAGAGGAGAAGCTGTACATGATGCTGCCAGTGTTTAACAGGGTAAGTCCTGGTTGCCAAGGCCAGGCCTTCCAAGGCAGGGTGGCACTGCAGGAATTTTAAGGTTATAATAAATCATAGGTAGGAAAAAATGATAGAATGAGTTGTTTTTGTTGTTTTTTTTTTAATATTTATTTTTATTCATGAGAGACAGAGAGAGAGAGGCAGAGAGAGAGAGAGAGGGAGAGAGAGGGGCAGAGACACGCAGAGGGAGAAGCAGGCTCCATGCAGGGAGCCCCATGTGGGACTTGATCCCAGGTCTCCAGGATCACACCCTGGGCCGAAGGCAGGTGCTAAACTGCTGAGCCACCCAGGGATCCCCTAGAATGAGTTTTTAAGAAGCTTGATGTTTTCATTCCTTTTTTTCAGTTTGCGTAAAGCCATGTGACTATCTGAGACCTGGTCAGAGTGAACTTCATTTAGTTCTAACAGATAAAAGGAAGACTGAGCATTCTTTACAATATTCCTATAGTGGTTGAGTTTTGGAAGGGGATAGGAATTACCACTTGTCATTTCCATTATTTTTTGAAATGATAGTTAATTGCCTGAGTATTTTGTACACTTTACAAAATCATCTCAGTTTGCTCTGTTTGGCAGGTTCTCTGTAAGAGATTTTGAAAGAGGATATTTATAGGCCCAAGATGGAGTCTAAATAGAGTTAGTCTCTTAAGATATTTTGTTAAGTTAAATAGAGTTAGTTTCTTAAGATATTTTGTTAAGTTAATTACATGTAGCAATCTTGGTGGGGATATTTAAAATAATTTTTATATTTTTATCAGAGGTGTAAAAGTACATAGTTTAAAAAGTCAGTAGTTCCATAGGGCTTTTAGATGCTCCACCATTCACTGCCAATTACTGCGGCTACTTGTAACTCTTTCAGCACTGAAGGGCACCCCTTGAGAGAAAGTTGTCTAAAAGTCTGTGGAGATTGGGGAAAGGACATCTCCTCCAAGAATGTGTTGTGGGTGTGCCTGGGCGGCTCAGTCAGTTGAATGTCCAACTCTTGATTTTGGCTCAGGTCATGATCTTGGGGTGTGGGTTCCAACTCCACCTAGGGTTCTGTACTCAGCAGGGAATCTACTTGAGATTCTTTCTCTTCCTCTCCCCTTCCCCCTGTTTGGATGCTCTCTCTGTCTCATAAATAATTAAATCTTAAAAAAAGAAAAGCATATGATGTGATTCTTGAGGTCTTAAAAGATAAACATTAGCACAAATGGAATTAACTAGACTCAATTAACCACGGAGTTAATTTATGTAAGAGATAAAGCTGAGTCAAGGGATGCGTGGGTGGCTCAGTGGTTGCGTGTCCATCTGTGGCTCAGGGCGTGATCCTGGACTCCCGGGATCGAGTTCCACATCGGGCTTCCTGCATAGAGCCTGCTTCTCCCTCTGCCTATGTCTCTGCCTCTCTCTCTGTGTGTCTTTCATGAATAAAATAAAATCTTTAAAAAAAAATAAAGCTGAGTCAAGATAAAGGTAAATATTTTCATATGTGCCAGTATCTATAAGGAGTCCAAGACGTTAATTTCATATCGAGGAGGATCAAAAAATAAGACTGTCAAGATTGATAGGAGGCACATCAAGATGGATTTGTATATTGTATTAGGACCCAATTCTTTTTCCTGGAGTCCTACAGAGCCAGTGAAGTATTTTAAACAATAGAATAAGAGAGTAGAAGGGACTAAGGCAGGTTATCTTCTAGGTTTCTAATTTGGGAAATGTTTTTCCCAGTTGCTGAGAAAAAAAGGTTTAAAAGATCTATTCACTTTGGATCATTGAGTCTGAACTATTTGTAAGCTTCCCAAGTGGATGTATTCAATAAGCAATTAGAAGCTCAGGTAGAGAATTTGGCTGGATATGTGCTTTGGGGACTGGCACAGATGGGGTAGTTGGAACCCTGGAAGGGGATGAGCAGTTACTCATGGTTTATACTGCCAAGTGAGAAGAGCACTAGGTTAAGGATGAACCATGGTGAATATGAATGTCTGATGAAAGAAGGGGAACCCATGAAAGATACAGAGTATGAGCTGGTCAGTAGCACTACAAACAGAATCAGGAGAGGGGTGGTTATCGAGCTCAAAAGATAAATGTAAGGAGAGAGAGAGTAGTCAACACTATCATGTACCATAGACCCAGTAAGATGAAGATTGAAAAAATGTTCATGAAATTTGCCAGTTTGTAAGTTACTAGAATGCAGAGCCAGAAAACAGTGAATTGAGGAGTGAATGGGAGATGAAAAGAGACAGTAAGTATATACTGGGGTTGTAGAAATTTTGAAAGAAAAGATAACAAAAGAAATTGATGGATGTGAACTTGGTGATGAGAAGGGTTTTTTTTGTATGCTTGTAGTGTTTTGCTTTGTAAAGATGGAGGAGATGCAGCTCATAAAGAGAAGGGAAGAAAGCAGAAGGGGAGATTTGGAAAATTTTAAGAGTGAAATTGAGGGAGGAGAGCATGGAGTTAAATTAAGGGTGGTGGGGGCGGGGGCAGGTGAGCCTTGAGCAGGAGAAAGATACTTCATCCTGGAGGAGAGCATGTATTGTTGGCTGTGAATATGGTTTGTATTTAAATGAAAAGTTGAATAAGATCTTGCTTGATGACCTTGGTTTCTTGGAGTTATCAACAGAAGATGTTATCTGTAAAGAGCCTTGGAGTAAATTAGGTTAGGGGCCTTAAGGAAATTGTGATGATTTGGAATATTATGAAAGGGAATGAGAGAGAGAGTTGAAAAGATGGTAAAAGAATTAAGGTATTGAGGGTCCAATGAAAGTTAGGGATGATAAATTTGTACTGGATCTTATCCATGTGGGTGTGTGATTTTTGTAGGCATTCAGCAGCGTGTGGGTAGAAGTAGAGGCAGAAAGATACATTAGTTGTTGGGATTGAGGTTTTGCGAGGGTAGTAAGGCAGAAGGGGTAGAAGGAAATAGATCAGTTCACATATCACCTATTGGGTTGAATAGAAGAGAAGAGCAGGCGCAAACAGTACATTTCGAGGATGTTCATTTTCTTTTTAATCTATGAAATAAGAAACAGAATGATGGACAGAGGTTATGGTAGAGTACGAGTATGCAAAGAGGTGAGGAAAGGTTTAAAATAGCTGTTTTGAAAGTGAGAGAGAGAAACTGATTATGGAGAAACCATTTTTTTCAAGCCCTGGTGAGGTAACAGTCATTAATTTTTATTGGAATCAGTTCTGGGAAGTTTTTTTTTATTTTTGTTTTACCTCAGTGTCACTATGTACTATTGTCTACCGGATCGGATCGTTTGAGGTAATTTCCTTCTCTCAGACTTATGCACGTTTACAAAGTGTTGATAATGTTCAGAATAGTTAGGGCTATTGTTCTCAGCTATTAACATAAATTAGTAAGTAATATCTTACATATGTGCCTCATGTATTTCATCAGTTGGGCTTCTACAGCCAATTTAATGAGGCTCAGACTGGAAGAATCCTCTAAATATTTGTTTTTTTGTTTTTGTTTTTGTTTTTTTTTTTAAAGTAGATTTAAGATGCCTTAGTGATGGGACGCCTGGGTGGCTCAGCAGTTGAACGTCTGCCTTTGGCTCAGGGCATGAGCCCGGAGTCCTGGGATCGAGTCCCGCATCGGGCTCCTGCATGGAGCCTGCTCCTCCCTCTGCCTGTGTCTGCCTCTCTTTCTGTGTCTCTCATGAGTAAATAAATAAAATCTTTAAAAAAAAAAAATGCTTTAGTGATTCCCTGTTGCTTAGACTGTGACTCTTTTGTTGTATATTGTCATGTTTCATTAAGTATTCTTTCAAGTCAAAAGTTTTTAATTGCCTGAGTAAAAGCACATATGTATATGCATTGTCTTATATACCTTTAATACAATGAGTGATTTAACTATCATAAAAGGTCAGCTGTTGGGCAGCCTCGGTGGCGCAGCGGTTTAGCGCCGCCTGCAGCCCGGGGTGTGATCCTGGAGACCCAGGATCGAGTCCCATATCGGGCTTCCTGCAGGGAGCCTGCTTCTCCCTCTGCCTGTGTCTCTGCCTCTCTCTTTGCGCTCTCTCTGAATGAATAAATAAATAAATCTTTTTTTTTTTAAAAGGTCAGCTGTTAACTAATGAAAAGAGAGGAAGTTATCTCTGTACCATTATGACCAATTTAAAAAGTATATAAAGAGTATTTATTGGATTATAATAAACTAAAATCCTTAGATAAGACATTCCATTCATTAGGTTTTGAAATACTTCATGTATTATTTAGTGTTTGACCATTTATACACGAATATTCTCCACTGCTAAGAAATAGCTTTAATGGGAGGCATCTGAGTGGCTCAGTTGGTAAGCATCCGACTCAGGTTTGGCTCAGGTCATGTACTCAGGGTGGTGAGATTGAGCCCTGCATCGGGCTCTGGGCTGAGGCATGGAACCTCCTTAAGATTTTCTCTCTCTCCCTCGGTCTCTTCCCTACTTCCTCCCTCTCTAAAAAAAGAAAGAAAGAAATAGCTTTGATGAAAAATAGCTCGATATGGCTCTAGAGTTCCTACCATGATTGTTAAAAATGAATTGTACTGTCAATTTTTGAGACTTCGCTTGATTTGTACTCAATGGTAAATAAACCATATTGCTGTTAGTCATGGGCATCTATCTACAAAATTGTTTTTAAAAAAGAGTGCTCAGTAGTGTTATTTCAGTATGTGATTTTTGCCTTTAAGAGACACGGGTTGAGAAATGACATGTGTTGAGTCCTTTTTCTGGGCCAGGGCTCATGCTGTGGTCGTCAGCTGCCTCCCATGGTCCTCATTGCAGTTCTGCAAAGAAACTGCTGCTGTCATTTGAGAGGTGGTAGTGGAGTCTGAAAATAGCTGAATAATACTTATCCAGCATTCTTAAAAATAATTAACCTTTTCAATCTTAAGAACAAAACCTTATTGACAAAATACTTAAGCTGTTCAAAAATGAATAACATTCTCATCATCTAAAAATTAACTGCCATTATTAATTACTGTGGTATATATTATCATACCTCATTGTGATCTT